CGGCGCCCCACGATGAGTAGAGCCACTTGCGGTCCGCCCACCTTCGCTCCCGGCTCCCCGGAAAGGGGGGCGCTGACCTGAGGGGTCGGGGCGGGCGTCGCCCGAAGACCCGCCGCCCCGCACTCGGGGCTCCGTCCCGACCCTGGCCTGCCTTCCTCCCTTCCGACCGAGTGTCCCTCCCACGTCGGGTTTAGGAAACAAACGGGGCTTTCCCGGCACCTCGGTGCGTTTCGGGGAACCGCGCGGCGGACAGCGGCTGTGCACGCACGCGGCGACGCCCCCTCGCGCCCCCGCACCGGCCTCGGCTTCATCCCGGCGTCGCACCGTGCGGCCGGCGTTGTCTCCCTCCGGGTGCCGACGAGAAGCCGAAGCTCCGGGGCACGGCACTTGACCTCGCCCGCCTCCTACGCGAGCCCGCGGCCTCCACGCGGCAGAGCTGGGGCTCCGTGGAGCGGCAGCCCCGACCGCACACGCTGCTGGCGCTTCTCCCACGGGCCGGCAGAATGTTCTTTCCTGGCCACAATCCTAGTTAAACCTTTGGCACAGCGGAGCGCAGAGGAGGAAGGGCGTGTGAAGCTCCGCGGTTTAGTGGGGTGGACAAAAGTGGAACCCTCCTTGGTGGCCCTAACTGCCCCCCCCCCCCAAGCCTTCATCCGGTGTTCCAGGAGAGGGCGTGCCCCCGGGCCCCAGCACTCCTCTGACCCAGCATCACCTGGGAGGCGGCAAGGAGAAGAATAGGGAGAAGATCTGCGCAGTCTTGGAAAAGCCTGGGTTGATAGGACCAGAGATCAGGGACTCCCCCGTGAATGTATTCCACCCCTTTCCCCTCCCCGGACCCCCAGTACTCAGCAACCTTCTTGAGATTTCTGTCATGGGTATCTCAAGACTACAGAGAGCCAGAGCAAAGTCAGGGTTCAGCTCTCTGGCTGCCCCTCTGTCCTTCACTCCTCCCTCCCCAGCTTGCAGTAGGGAGCCAGCGAAAAGAGTAGACTCAGATACCAGGCTTGGAGGGGGTGCAGGCTTGAGAAGCCCCTTGCTGGGCCAACCTTGACCCTGGGGTGTCCCAGGGCAAGAAATGAGCCTCCAGCCGGACTTTGGATGGCAGGCAGGCTGGAGTTCCCCAGCAGCCTTCCTGGCTGGGGAGGGTGGTATCCCCAGCAACCCCCATCTGGAGAGGGCAATGACCTCACAGGACCACACCACCAGAGAGCATTTCCAAGGGACAGACAGTTTTGGGGTTGCATGCCCCTCATCCCCTATGGGTGCCCATTCTGTGGCTTCCCTCTCTTCTGCAGGGGTCTGAGTGGAAGACGAGCTCAGTGACAAGATCCCACCTGCAGCGGAAACTAGTGATCGGGTTTGGGGGTTCAGACTGAGAATGCCAGATGCTGGTTCCTCTGGAGACAGGAGAAAAGCCCAATATTCTTGAAATGGCACAAGCCACTGAAATTCTTCCTGCCTGGATTCCAAAGACATACCGAAACTGCTCTGGGGAAGGAAGTTCTGGCATAATACATGGTAGAGCGCATTATTTGGGAAAGAAGGAAGTGAATTAATTAGAACAGCTTTGTGCAAGTCGCTACCACAGTGCCCGATGTGTGTAACGAAGGCTCAGTGAGTTTGTTCTCATCGATGGGAAACAGACTCATCAAGACGGGATAATTTACTCAACATCCCACAACTGCCTAGTGGCAAGGCTGGAGGACAAAGCAGCCCCCCCGAAACCCTCCTCCAAGGCCCGGGATATCATGTCCGGAAACACAGGGGAGGCTGGGAGTGAATTCCTTTCACGGTGGTTAGAAACCCAGAGTAGAGAAATTACGTTCCTATCCTTCTGCCGGGACCCAAAGGAGCAGGTCAGTGGCTAAGTCCCCAAGCTTGGGGCAGCAAAGCACCTGGGCCCCCCTGCCCCCGGCCCCCTTCAGTGCTGGCCATGCTCCAGTCTCCCTGTAAGAGGGAAGGGTGAGTACCCCCAGACGGCTCCCCCTGCCCTGCCACTAATGGGCCTCCCCTGGCCTCACCCCTTACCCCAGCCACGGGCCTTCCAGAAATTCTGCTTGGCTCTTCCCATTCGAAAGTGGCGCTCAGCATTTTTGATGTGATCAGGTAAGATGGTGGGTGGGTGAGCGGGGACAAGACCAGGATGGCAACAGCCAGAAAAAGAAAAAGTAAGATGCAGCTAACCACATGGGGGGAGTTCAATGCTTTTAATTCTATTGTGAGCCGGGGGAACTCTAGGAAGACTTTCTCTTGAAGAGAGATTTCCAGGCCGCGGCCTCATCTCCGCTCCCCTGGATCTTTTTCTGCTCAAGGCACCGTCTAATTACACTGGTGTCTGGCCCTGCTCTCCTGCCATCTCCACATTAATCTCTCAGACTCTCGCCCCCAGTTAACTAAAAAAGTAGCTTATCTGTAGTTAAAAAGTGAAGTTAATTAGAGTCTGGAGCTTCTTCCTTTCTTTTGCCAAGTCCCTAAGCGTAGGCCAAGTGTCTGTCTTCATTGAGGCTTCTGGAGTTTGGGGGCAGGGAAGAGCAGCAGAGAAAAAGGATTCTCCTGTTGCAGTGTCCACTCGGTGTCCCCCCAATGCACTGATGGTCATGGTGAAAGGGCACCCCCCCCAGCAAAAGGTGGGTGTGGGGAGCCTGGAGTCGGGAGTGGATTCCAGAGCCTGTTCCCTGCTTTTAAAAGGGCTTCGAGCACAAAGCGCGACCCTGGCTAACAGCGTGGCGTCACCCAGGGTCCAGTCGGGCCAGAGGAGAGTGTCCCCTCGACATTGCACCTCGCTGCTTCCTGGGAGGTCAGAGTCCAGTGCCAGGATGGTAGCCTGGGAATCCAGGGGCGCACTTCCTCATCTCTTTTAAGGAAGAGTCCCCCCACAATTTGTGGAAGGTAGCGATATCAATTGTGATTACTTCTAGGAAGAAACTTAGATCAGACACGGGGGACAGACAGGGCCTGGAATAACAGGGCGTGGTGCGAATCACACACCGGAGCTCCTGAGAGAGAACACGAGGACTCACGAGTCTCCTGGCAAAACATCCAGATGTGTTTAAGAGAAAATGAAACCAAGGGCTAGGAAAATTCAAGTTGGTCTAATTTTGAAGAAGATAAAGGAAACGCCTCTGGCACTGCTGGCTAAAGCACATCCCCAGGTTGCCCCATCACAGCCACCCTGTCACCAGTCACCCCCGTCACCGGCCACTGCGTCACCCTACTATATCAGGGGGGGTCCCCAGGAAAAGGGGAAGTTCAGGTTCCCTGGCCACCCAGAAGGAGGGTGGAGCTGAGGAGAGAAAAGCAGAGAAGGAGTCTGAGGAAGAAGGAAGCGGGATGGAGAGCCAGAAGGAGCCCTGAGGAAGCCACGTGGAACAGAGAGACACATTGAAGAAACTGTTTATTTTTTGGCCCTGGACTGGCTGAAAGAGATGTGGTTGGGAGACCCTGGGGGTGACTATGGCAGCGTTATCCTGATTTTGATTGTGCT